TGTCTTCAGTGCTGTTGTAATTTCAAACAGTCACTAAAAGAATGGTCATAAGATGAGGACTATCTGTAGCATTTGAATAAGGGGATCAAGAGAACCCTTCAATCGTCAGGTTTTGAAAATGCAGTTTAGAGCTGAGCAGAAGTTGAATTTTCAAGCAGGAGTTGAAAAATAAACCACGGTCAGGTAACTTCCCTGTATTCCCCTCTGCTCTGAATACCTAATATTAGGTGTTGATAAAGGAAATTGCTATATTATGTAGCCCTAGCTCTGATTCTCAAAAGAAATCCAGGGCCAGATAGGTCAGAGCAGTGTTTTTCAAACTTGGCAACTTTAAGATGCACAGACTTCAATTCCCAGAATTCCCCAGCCTGGTGTACGGGAGTTGAAGACCAGACATCTTAAAGTTGCCAGGTTTGAAAAATGCTGGGTTAAAGGTCTTCCGATGTGCTACAGCAGGGGTAGTCAACCTTGGCTCTTTTATGACTGGTGGACTTCAACTCCCAGAATTCCTGAGTCAGCCTGGCTCAGCTTGGAAACCTCTCCCTTTCCCCTCAGCATGGCTGGCTCAGGAATTCTGGGAGTTGAAGTCCACCAGTCATAAAAGAGCCAAGGTTGACTACCCCTGTGCTACAGTAAGGCCTGGACAGTATGGCAAGTGGCCAAGGATTGTGGGAGGTGGGTGCCAAAGCATCCCTTGTTAATAGACCATAAACTCGGCATTCTTGAATAGGCGACTTGTGTCTTTTGCCCTGTAGAACTTCCTATCCCTCTGGCTGGGCAATTTGTGTCCCCTCCGGTGCACACAGGCTCTGCTGGCCACGCCTGGGTGTCCTTGGACGATCACTGCCATCTGCACTATGAAATAGTGGTGGCTGGCCTGGGCAGGGTAGACGATGGCACCGTGAGTGCGCACTTGCACGGTTTTGCTGAACTGGGAGAGATTCACGAGACCAGCCGCCCAGAACACAGGAGACTGTTGAGGAGTTTCTATGGCACGGAGGTAAGGGGCTCAGATGCAGCCTTTGGGCCGGAAATGCTTTGTCATGCTGTCTATCCATCCATCCACCCATCCATTTATCCATCCACCCACCCACCCACCCACCCACCCATCCATCCATCCATCCATCCATCCATCCATCTATCTACGTACCTACCTACCTACCTACCTACCTCTGTCTATGTCTGTCTGTCTATCTGTCCATCCATCCCTTCTCCATCCATCCCCCCTCTCTACCTACCTACCTACCTACCTATCTCAGTCTATCTATCTATCTATCTATCTATCTATCTATCTATCTATCTATCTATCTATCATCTATTTACTTATTTACCTACCTACCTCTGTCTATGTCTGTCTGTCCATCCATCCATCCATCCATCCATCCATCCATCCCCCTCTCTATCTACCTACCTACCTTTATCTGTCAATCCGCCTATCTATCTATCTATCTATCTATCTATCTATCTATCTATCTATCTATCTATCTATCTATCTATCTATCTATCTATCTATCTATCTATCTATCTATCTATCTATCTATCTATCTATCTATCTACGAGACCGCCTTCTGCCACAGATTCCCTCCCACAGACCGGTACGCTCCCACAGAGCGGGCCTCCTCAGGGTGCCGTCGGCCAGGCAGTGTCGGCTGGCGACCCCCAGGGGGAGGGCCTTCTCTGTGGGTGCCCCCACCCTCTGGAACGAACTACCCCCCGAGATCCGGACGATCCCGGATCTCCTAACCTTCNTGTCTTCAGTGCTGTTGTAATTTCAAACAGTCACTAAAAGAATGGTCATAAGATGAGGACTATCTGTAGCATTTGAATAAGGGGATCAAGAGAACCCTTCAATCGTCAGGTTTTGAAAATGCAGTTTAGAGCTGAGCAGAAGTTGAATTTTCAAGCAGGAGTTGAAAAATAAACCACGGTCAGGTAACTTCCCTGTATTTCCCTCTCCTCTGAATACCTAATATTAGGTGTTGCTAAAGGAAATTGCTATATTATGTAGCCCTAGCTCTGATTCTCAAAAGAAATCCAGGGCCAGTTAAGTCAGAGCAGTGTTTTTCAAACTTGGCAACTTTAAGATGCACGGACTTCAATTCCCAGAATTCCCCAGCCTGGTGTACGGGAGTTGAAGATCAGACATCTTAAAGTTGCCAGGTTTGAAAAATGCTGGGTTAAAGAGCTTCCGATGTGCTACAGCAGGGGTAGTCAACCTTGGCTCTTTTATGACTCGTGGACTTCAACTCCCAGAATTCCTGAGCCAGCATGGCTCAGCATGGAAACCTCTCCCTTTCCCCTCAGCATGGCTGGCTCAGGAATTCTGGGAGTTGAAGTCCACGAGTCATAAAAGAGCCAAGGTTGACTACCCCTGTGCTACAGTAAGGCTTGGACAGTATGGCAAGTGGCCAAGGATTGCGGGAGGTGGGAGCCAAAGCATCCCTTGTTAATAGACCATAAACCCGGCATTCTTGAATAGGCAACTTGTGTCTTTTGCCCTGTAGAACTTCCTATCCCTCTGGCTGGGCAATTTGTGTCCCCTCCGGTGCACACAGGCTCTGCTGGCCACGCCTGGGTGTCCTTGGACGATCACTGCCATCTGCACTATGAAATAGTGGTGGCTGGCCTGGGCAGGGTAGACGATGGCACCGTGAGTGCGCACTTGCACGGTTTTGCTGAACTGGGAGAGATTCACGAGACCAGCCGCCCAGAACACAGGAGACTGTTGAGGAGTTTCTATGGCACGGAGGTAAGGGGCTCAGATGCAGCCTTTGGGCCGGAAATGCTTTGTCATGCTGTCTATCCATCCACCCATCCATTTATTCATCCACCCACCCACCCGCCCATCCATCCATCCATCCATCCATCCATCTATCCATCTATCTATCTACGTACCTACCTACCTACCTACCTACCTCTCTCTGTCTATGTCTGTCTGTCTATCTGTCCGTCCATCCCCTCTCCATCCATCCCCCCTCTCTACCTACCTACCTACCTACCTACATCTATCTATCTATCTATCTATCTATCTATCTATCTATCTATCTATCTATCTATCTATCATCTATTTACTTATTTACCTACCTACCTCTGTCTATGTCTGTCTGTCCATCCATCCATCCATCCATCCATCCCCCTCTCTATCTACCTACCTACCTTTATCTGTCAATCCGCCTATCTATCTATCTATCTATCTATCTATCTATCTATCTATCTATCTTCTATCTACTTATCTACCTACCTCTATGTCTGTCTGTCTATCTGTCCGTCCATCCATCCATCCATCCATCTATCTACCTACCTACCTACCTTTATCTGTCAATCTACCTACCTACCTACCTTTATCTGTCAATCCGCCTATCTATCTATCTATCTATCTATCTATCTATCTATCTATCTATCTTCTATCTACTTATCTACCTACCTCTATGTCTGTCTGTCTATCTGTCCATCCATCCATCCATCCATCTATCTACCTACCTACCTTTATCTGTCAATCTACCTATCTACCTACCTTTATCTGTCAATCCGCCTATCTATCTATCTATCTATTTATCTATCTATCTTCTATCTACTTATCTACCTACCTCTATGTCTGTCTGTCTGTCTGTCCGTCCATCCATCCATCCATCCATCCCCCTCTCTACCTACCTACCTTTATCTGTCAATCCGCCTATCTATCTATCTATCTATCTATCTATCTATCTATCTATCTATCTATTTATCTATCTATCTTCTATCTACTTATCTACCTACCTCTATGTCTGTCTGTCTGTCCGTCCATCCATCCATCCATCCATCCCCCTCTCTACCTACCTACCTTTATCTGTCAATCCGCCTATCTATCTATCTATCTATCTATCTATCTATCTATCTATCTATCTATCTATCTATCTTCTATCTACTTATCTACCTACCTCTATGTCTGTCTGTCTATCTGTCTGTCCATCCATCCATCCATCCCCCTCTCTATCTACCTACCTACCGCTGTCTCTGTCTGCCCGCCCGCCCACCCACCCACCCATCTACCTACCTACCTACCTACCTATCTACCTACCTACCTACCTACCTACCTATCTATCTATCTATCTATCTATCTATCTATCTATCATACACCCATCCACCCACTCACCCATCCATCTATCACCCACTCTATCATTATTATAAATAACCCGACATATCTAGTAATTCTCCTTTCTCCTCCTATTTCCCCCTAGCAACAACTCTGTGAGGTGGGTTGGGCTGAGAGAGAGAGAGAGTGCATAATAGGAAAAATTCCTTGGGAGTCTTTGCTAGCTATGGGATCCTCCCTGTTGTGTGACATGTCATGTTACCACTCAGGGCAGTAAAATGCAAAGACTTTCCATTCTGCCCTGGGGCAATTCCCAGGGTGGGTATTCAGTGAACCTCTGGCAGAAAACATAAATTTCCAAATGCAGGAAAACGGAACAAACTCAAGAAAATTGACCATAGGCTCCATTCTGGCATCACCCATTCTTTCCTTGGGCTACTTACCAAGAAGGAACTATATGAAAATCTTAAGCTGGCAGACCATTAAACTGAGAGCAGACAATTTCATGCCTAATGTTCCCTGTTATTATGGGCTGTGCACACGTACAAGCCCACGCAGAGAACCATTGCAAGCACGTAGCTGTGGAAGAGTCACCGTTCGTACACGTACACCACAAATGAGCCCCACATTTCTGTTCCTAAGGGAGAACTCGTTCAGTGAGTTTTGCCCCATTTTACGACCTTTCTTGCCCCCAGTGGTGAAGTCAATCCCCGCAGCTGTTCAATTAGCAACACCGTTGTTAAGTGAAGCTGGCTTCCTCAGTGAATTTTGCTCGTCAGGAGGACGCAAAAAGGGATCGCGTGACCTGGGGACAGGGCAGCTGTCATAAATCGGAGCCAGTTGCCAAGGGTCTGACTTTTGATCACGTGACCCTGAGGGGATGCTGCAATGGTCGTAAGTGTGAAAACAATCAAAAGTCACTCTTTTTCAGGGCCATTTTAACTTGGAACTGTTACTAAACTGTCGAGAATTGCCTGTATACTGTCCCAGAACTCTGCTGAGGCACTTTTCTTTCCCTCTTAGGCCCAAGGAGTGGTGAAGGACCTGGATGCGGAATTCCTTCGCCACCTAGCTCAAGGCACAGCCTTCCTGCAAGTGAGCACCAAAGCAAACCCCCAGGGAGAGATTCGGGGCAAGGTACGTCTGCTTTTTTAGATATAAAAAGACTCTAATTTCCAAACCGTGTTTTCGATGGGTCAACATCTTTTTTACATCGTGGTGACCAAAACTGGATGCACCATTCCAAGTGTGGCCTTACCAAGGCATTGTAAAGTGATATTAACACTTCGCGTGATCTTGATTCTATCCCTCTGTTGATGCAGCCTAAGACTACGTTGGCCTTTTTGGCTTTTCTGATCTAAACGTTGGCACTAGAATGAAATAAATAAAACCAAAGGTAGAGCTGAGTTTTGGGACAATCCGTACCAATCGTTTGAAAAATCAGGTTGAAAAAGCTCTCTAAACGTGACAGGAATTAAAGTCACAGAGAGAGAATTTAGAAAAAAATACTCTCTTTTCCCTCAGCTAGTGGGAACGTTTAGGAGTGTGGCGAGTTGCCAAGGATTGCCGTGTGCCAAAATCTTAAACTCCACATTGTTTGCATTCTTAATCACTCCAAGGAGAGGCATTTGCTTGCTCCCCAGACAGATGGAAATTCCGCAAGTGAAGCTTTTCTTGGCATGGAGATAAAATAATGAGACATGCTGCATTTATTAAGATGGATGTTTGCATAACACTGAATGACATAGAACGTTTGCGGGGGGAGGGAATGATGGTGGTGGAGTGGCGCAGACCTTTCTTAGCTAGAAAAATAAGAGAAATTGTCGTAATCGATAATACGGTTTGTATCTTGTTTTTTCAAACCCAGATTTGCTTCCATCCCTCATACGCTCTACGTAAGTTGTTTGTTTAAAGTTCAGAAAGAGGTGTTAGCTGATTGTTTGCACACTAGAAGAGGAAAAATGACTAGAGCGCTGTTTCTCAACCTTGGCCGCTGAAGATGTGTGGACTTCAACTCCCAGAATTCCCCAGTCAGCAAAGCTATTTGTCTGTTGCTTAGTGTCAGTGAATATATGCATTAGGCCAGTGTTTCCCAGCCAGTATGTGGGGACTTCAATTCCCAGAATTCCCCAGACATTATGTGAGGACTTCAACTCCCAGAATTCCCCAGACATTATGTGAGGACTTCAACTCCCAGAATTCCCCAGACATTATGTGAGGACTTCAACTCCCAGAATTCCCCAGACATTATGTGAGGTCTTCAATTCCAAGAATTCCCCAGACATTATGTGAGGACTTCAATTCCAAGAATTCCCCAGACATTATGTGAGGACTTCAATTCCAAGAATTCCCTAGACATTATGTGAGGACTTCAACTCCAAGAATTCCCCAGACATTATGTGAGGACTTCAACTCCCAAAATTCCCCAGACATTATGTGAGGACTTCAACTCCCA